AGAGTACAAATTCTAAGTTCTAAGGATCTTCCTTCAATTCAGGAGGTCTATGCTCTTGTCCAGTCTGAAGAGAGCAGAAGAAACTTGATGAACAGCACCGGAGGGGATGCAATTGTGTTGGCAGCAAAGGGGGGTTCCTCTACTAGTGGTGGCATCAACTAAGCAGAACAAAATCTCAATCAAGCAACAGTGGGCAACAGTTCAATCTTCGGCAGGAGGGTCCATGGCCTCTTCGTTCTCTTCACCCCCTACGTTCTTTTCATGCACGTCCTCGGTGATGTCATCCTCGGCGGGCAGGGAAACATTATCATAGGGGCCCCAGGTCTGCGCAACTGCGACAAAGTCGGGTAGTGGTGCAGCGCCCTCCTCTTGAAAAGATTGAACCCTGCCTCGAAAGAGCTCACAGAAAAATTGTCCATCGCGTGCTGGTATTCCTCCGAGGTCTTGCACTGATCAACTGCCTAAGCCTCCCTGTCAGCAGCCTCCTTCAACCGCTCTCGTTCCGCCTTCAGATTGGTAATACGTTTCTTAAGGTTACGGATGGTGTTGGACTGCTCCTCAATTCCGCGCTTTAGTTCAACAATCTCCGCCTCCATCATAACTATCCGCTCACCAGCAGCCTGGAACTCATCTAGCCGAGCTCTCATGCCCACAAGCTCGGTGTGCTCCTTGTCATGAAGTTGTTGCAGTTGCCGAAGGCAGTCAACCACCGTGATTGTCGAGCAAGCACTCTACAAAAGAAACTACGTCAGCACGGATAACCCCGGCCAAGAAAGAAATCGAGAGTAAGCATGGACTTACCGAAGCGACTTGGTGGATGAGCGAGCACTCCAAGGTACCGTTCGTTGTTTGAGCGGCCTCCTGCCGAATAGCCATCATCATGATCCTGCGAAGTAGCTGCTCGGGTACCCCGTTTGTCTCAAGCCCGTCCTTAGAGCGAAAGGTCCACTGCGGTACGTGGAGGACCGAGCCGTTGCTCCCCAGTAGTCGATCAAGACTACAGTTAGTCTTGAATCCAAAAAGGTTTTGGATGGAGAAAAGAAGAAGAAAAGGAGAAAAAGAGGAGAAGCAGAAGTACACAAGGGTTTAGAAAGGAGAGGGACAGATAGATTGAATCTGCCGCCCCACTCTTAATATTTATATGTTATGTTCACTGATTGTAGAAAAAGGCAAAATTTCCCTTAATGCTTACATGGAAAATAAAACAATAGTAAGCTGAAATAACTACCAACTAACACTGATATAACTAACAAAGATTACATGTGTTGTCATACGAACACAGTGGGGACCACAGCCGTGGGGCCCACATCAGTGTTCTCGACATCCCCGGCATGTCCTTCCGTGGAGGGATAGCAGATTGATAACCCTCCTCCGGGTCCACCACTACGACCTCGTAGTCGCTACGTTGCCTGGCCCTCTTTTGTTGTCGGGACGCCCTCTTAGCGGACCTCGGCGGGTTCGCTTCAAAACGGGACTAGGCCCTCGCATTGCCTCGGCTTCGCCTCAGTTGCCTGACCATCATTCTACGAACAATCTTCTCGCTCACCATATCAACACCTGCACAAAGGGTAAGAGGTCAGTCAAGGCAAGTATAAACTTTGGAAAAAAGAATCAACAAATGAATCGAAGCGACAAGACAGACCGGCCAGCCCGCACATCAGCCCAGCGCGGATCAACATCGAGAAGGACGTGTATAGCATCACGTTGATATCCTCAATCACGTTTATGGCTACTCTCTCCTCGGTTAGCCTGTGCCACTTGGGCTGCGGCACCTTAGTCCTCAGCTCTTGTAGCACGACGGGAAGGGGCGAGCCCCTTCTACAGTGCACAAAGAAGAATTCCCCCTTCCAGTACTTCACCGAGGACGGGGCCCCAACCAGCACCTTAATATGCTGACTGGCCGAGAAATAGTAATAACCCTACTGGTGGTGCTTCAACTGAAGAAAGTAGCTCACTATTCCTAGGGTAAGCTCGAGATCGTGAACGAAGCAGTACGACAAGAGGCCGATCAGGAACCTAAAAGAGTTTGGCATCAATTGCACTGGCAGCACCCGATACCACTCGAACACCTCAACTATTCCCTCGTGCAAAGGGAACCTCAGCCTGACCTCCAAGTTCGCCCGGCCGAGCATCTGTGGGCATCTCACCAGCCACGAACACCTCAACTCATACTCCTCAGGAATGTAGTACAGAGCTCAGATCCGAGCAATTTCCCCAAGAGTCAAACAACAAGGGGTGGTACCAAATTGGCGGCCAATCCGCGCAGGAAGCTCTACCCCTACACTCGACGGCCCAGCCTCAGCCTCTTCGGCCTCGGTGGCTCTCCCAGGCTCTACCCCCTTAAAGTTCGTGGCCTCAGTAAAAGACCCCAGCTCAGACTCATAGTAGGAAGTGCTAAAGCTAGAAGAATTAGAGGAAGAAGAAGAACAGAAGGAGGAAGACATCTTACCAGACTTAGAACCGCGGAACTAAAACAAACTCCGAGCACTGCAAACCACCCCTCGCCGAGCTCTCTAAGCAATCCCTCTCGCAAATGGCGAAGGAGAATGGAGAAATGCTCTTCCCTCCCTATTTAAAGATTCCCAGGGGACGGATCGAAGCAAGATCGACGATGGAGATCAAGCGTCACTCTGACAAGCCCGGGAAGGCCAATCGGTGCAATTTCCCACCACACTTGTGAAGCCTCAGGAACCGAAGCGACGCCTCTGATGACCCGTTTTGGAGATGGTGCAATCATCTACCCATCCGGTTCGCCCTAGGAGATCGGTCCAATCAAGTCCTCAGACCCCCACGACGCACTCAACGGAAGCCAACTTCACAGGCCTCGGCCAATGACCGAGGAGTCTGCGCTACACCTCGGCCGAGCACTCCTCTCCTCGACTTTGGAACTAGGGGAGTGGTGTTCGGATTCCGAATCCTGAATTCAAAGTTCCTCAGCCGATAATCAGAGAACTCTTCGGCAAAATCTCGCAGACGAGCACTAAAGGTTAGTGCGTGGATTCCGAATTTCGACAAGCTCTACGAGAACCGGACCAGATGCTCAACCAGACTTCAACTTTGAGTTCCTCAGCCGAGGACTAAAGCTCTCCAGTGCTACACTTCGGTCGAACACTTTACTCAACTTCAGAACTGGGGGAGTGGGGGAGTGGTGTTTGGGTCATGGTCAAGCTGGCTTTGGGTGCGACGTGGCCGCTCAATCACCTCAGCCACGTCAGCGTCGTGCCACCACCTCTACGGCCTACCTCGACTCCGCGGCCACGACAGTGCCATGCTACCTCCGTGGTCCACACCTTATCCCCCCAGCCACGTCGACTCCACGTCATGTGGATAAGCACGACTAAGACAGGAAAGCAGATGGGGACTACGCTGCTAGGGATCAGGTCTCATCCCGAAGACCTCGGCGGTTAACCTCATCCCGAAAACCCTGGAAGCTTAATCCGATCAGGACACGGACCTTCGGCCATAAAAAAGGTATTCCCCGCCCGAGGTAAGGGATCCAACTTCTAGTTCTCATACCGTTATACTGCTCAAACCAGCACTGTTCTCCAACTGCTCGGCCCAACCCCCACTGCCTTCTATTGACTTGAACGTCGGAGTATCTACCCGGGGATAACTCCTTGGGCCTCTGACAATTTCTTGTTCGCAGATCTCATTGCGCAGCTTCGTCCTTCCACCTCGGCTCCGCCCAGTTGGCAAGGACTATCTGATTGTGACCTCGGTTCCTGCACCACCTCGGATCGAGCAGCATCACTCGTGCACATTTGTTTCATACCCAACATTTGAGTGATGAATCTTTGCTTCCTTCTATGTATGTTGCTACTGAATAAGATTGAACTTTTTTGTAAGTTCACTTTCTCTCCTGAAAATTCTTCAAATTTGGTTATAATCTCTTGTAGGTTTTGTAGCATTATTACTTCAGCCCTACAAAAAATTAGACAGTCATCTGCAAAAAGCAGATGAGTTATTTGGGGAGCCTGTCTTGTAAGCTTAATTCCCTTTATAGTGCCTTGGTTTTCTGCTTGAAATAGAAGAGAGGATAGGACTTGCATAGCCAAGATAAAGAGATATGGTGACAAAGGGTCACCCTGTCTAATGCCTGCCTTGAGTTGGAATAATTCCGAGACAACTCCATTCACCTTAACCGAGAAAGGAGAGAAGATGCACTGCTGTACCAGTTTACGCCAGTGTTCTGGGAAACCCATGAGTTGGACTTTTTATAATGAAATGTCTACTCAACCTATCATAGGCATTCGGCATACCCAGTTTAATTGCTACCCATCCAACTCCTTTCTTATGCCTTTTCATTTTGGTAATCAGCTCACGAGCCAAGATAATAACCTGATAATTACATTTTGTATGTAATTCTATACTGGACTAAAATATATATCAGGAAAACGAACTTTTGAGCATGAACACAGCTGAGGGTGCTTGAAGTCCTAAATTGTTGTTGCTGATCGAGTTAATACTAACCTCAAAAAGAATAGATAAACTGAACATTAGGAATGTGTAGTTAGAAATAACTGAAATCTGTTCTCATGCTTGTAATGGGCTGGATGTATGTCAAACTTGAGAAAATATAACAAATAGTTGTTCTAATAGAAATTCTGGAGATTGAAAAAAATCCAAATATTACCTTTATTTACATGACATGAATAGCTTAAGTAGTTTGTCATTAATTGCCTGAGTTTCAAATCATCAGAAAGCTCTTGCATAAATGTAGTTTTCAATTGTTGGATCCAAATATGTTCTGAATACAGTGATGCCCCCAAACACCTATGTTCATTTATCAGAATGATAATAGAAAAAAAGATGCTGTTTGATGCCATAAGTTTTTTACCACCATAGATGATGCTGTTTACTATAAATATGAAGAAATAAAGGTAAATAAGAAAAAGCCACACTGAAAACTAAGCATATCCTTATTTTGAGTGTACTGTATTTGACAGGTATATTACTGCAAGGAGGATGAGATCTGCTTATACCAGTCAATATCTTTTCAAGTACCTTTTAAGGAGGAAGTTTTGGACTCTAACCCAGCAGAAATCACACTTCCATTTATTGTGAAACCCAAAGTTCCCACAGGGAGCTTACAACTACAAGTTTCCCGTTAATGCAAACCACCTTCTATATTTGTACTGCAGGTTTGATGTAGATCTCTCATTCATGGTTATATTCATGCCACTTAATTCTAGTCATGAAAAGGTGAAGAAGCTACTAAAGTGGTAGCATTTTGATCATCCGGAACAGCTTCTAGTTGATCTATCAGATAAATTGATTGATCGATATTTTTTTGTCCCTTTTAATGTCCAATCAGACTTTACTGTTCAGAGACTAGTGCAGCTGAATTCTCCCCAAGAAGAAAAGAATTACCAAAACAGGAGGAAGCTAACCATTGACAGATTTGACATTAAAAGTCATAAGCTGAACCATTGGCTTAATTATTTTTTTGATGGAGAAACTACTGGTTTGATTGGCAATGTTAACATCTACCCGTAATAGAATAAAAGGGTGGTCGGTCCCAAAGACCTGATTGGTTGGGACTCATGCCCTGGTGGTGGTTGATCTAAACCCAGTCATATGTGCACCATGTATTTAGAGTGGCTTCATGCGTTCTCATGAAAAAGTTCCATTGTCAAACTTAATAGTTATTTGTAGTTCTGCCACCTGTCAACCAACGAGGTTTGCAATGTCTGCCATGTCAGACAACCTCAAACGAGCTTTCCACAACCATCCGCCAACTGAGAAAATAGGTGTAGGCAAAAGTTGCGTTTGTTACGCATCTCAGTCGGTTGATAGGTGGAGCTATAGAGTCCGGATCTCCTGCCCACGCCTACCCACAATACACCACCCCCCGTGAATTGGGAACATCTCCCCCTGCATAATACTATGCAGAGGATGAGATGTTCTTCATGTGGCTGCGATAAATGTGGGTAGGGTTGTCGTGGGCAGGAGATCCGGAGTTGGAGCTATAGGCATCTGTTTTCTCTTCAAGTGATTACTAAGAGATAGTAAATGTTTTGAGTCAAGGGGAGGGGGAGTCTATTGATCTTGTCTGTGCGAGGGAAAAAGTTGACATTTTGAGACGAGAAATCTTTAGTCAATAGAGGACCGCCCTTGGCACCTGTATGAAAAAAGGGCTAGGGGTATATAAAAAAGACATGGGTCAAAGTATTAAGAAATGATTCAAGTATTCATAATTTAACAATGGATATGACATTAAACAGAATGCATTGTTGGAAATAGGACTCATGCAACTGATCCCTTATAGTTGGGATAATGCTTAGGCTTAGATGATGATGATGATGAGAAATCTTTTAACAAGTTCTGGATCTTGCAGATTATTTATTTATATTATGGATAAGATGCAATGTGATTTAAAAATAAAATACATGGATATATTGGACATGACGTTTGGGACATATTGATAAAATTGTTATTTGTTAATAAAAATATCAAAAGATGACAGCTAATTTAAACGCGTTTTTTTTTATTTTGGGTCGGGTCTATTCTCTCGCATGTTTAAGATTTAGCTGCAACGAGAAATTTGGTTGGATAGTACTTAGGAGCCTTACAACTGGGTAAAGATCGGGATTGTATATGGAATTATGAGAAAATGTTCTTGACATAGCTTTAGTGATCTGAAAACCTTGAGTCATGGGTAGGGGCTATTTGTACTAAAAATAACTATTTGTTTCTTGATTTTGCATCTACATTTAATGGCCTAAACAGAATACAGATTACAGAAGAAACCAAAAGGGATGTATGAACATCTTGGGTTAAAAATGAAGATTTAAATTAAACCTCCCCCAATTTTAGACATACTCATCAACTGTTGGAACCTTAAAAACCTTGTAGGATACATTTATCAGTCAAAGTCGACAAAATTAATTTTTGTATGTCAAAAAGAGAATGTCTTACCAAACCCATTCCAGGTAGTAATGTGCCTTGAAAATTAAAGTGGTCTTTGCTTGTGTAATCACAAGTCTTCAAAGGCTTGCCTTCCTATCCGTTTTCCTAATCTTTTATTTTAATTACTAGAGGACAAGAAACCCGACTCAATAGGCTCCTCTACAGAAGTAGTTAGAACAGATAAACAAGAATAAGAATATGTAGAGTATTAAATAGATAAATGAAACCACGTAGTACAACTTTGAATTATATGAACGTCAAAGACTTATTATTTTATGCTCAAAGTAAATCTCCAATTCTGACTGAGATAACTTTACAATCTGATGCATTCAAGGAAAGTGACTACTCTAGCATCCAAAAGAACAATCCAGCAAATATATGAATATGAGTGGGGTTGGGGTGCGACATTTTGATGATTTTAATGAGTGGTTCTCACATTATTAGGCTTGTTTATGTTGGAAAGTTTGTGGCAAGTGACTTATAATGCATCATTTTTCTTAATAAACAATGAAGCTTTCTGTGTTTATGTTTGTCTCACATGAGGAGGCAACCTCTCTGGCATATAATTTTCTACTTAGGGTTCATTGTTTATTTATTTTTTTGAAGTTTCTTGTTCCATACCAGCTATAACGCACCACACTTCCCCCCTCCCCGAATTATGATTGTGGATTAAGTTTATCATTATTAAGACAAATTAAATATGTATTAAATAACTTTACAGTTTGTGTTGCCTTGTCTTGAAGCAAATCAGAAGCAAACCTGCACATCTTTTCATGTATATCCTTTGAACAATCCCAACTCAACTATTTGGTGTCAATCACAGCAATTAATCCTATCTTTCTTAGATTGTGAATCCTCAGCTCTATTATAATCTCTATATATGAACAACAATGACAATAGATTAAACAGTTTGGTGAAGTGAGTGGTTTTCATTTAGACAGTAGCATCATGGGTCATGTTGAGATGAAGATCAACATAGCCCCCCTTCTTGTGGGGCCAATCACTCACAACCATATCAAAGATCATTTATGATGTCTATGGTGTTAAACTATAATTATTGTAGTCAAAATCATACCATTGTTAACTTCACTTGTACTAAAATCCAGCTTCAGCATAGTTATAATTAATGAATGATGGTATCTGTTATAAACCTTGAAGTGGGTGTCGGCATTCCTATGTTTGATAAATACTTATCTATGATTTTATCATTAATTTGAAAAAGAAAAGAAAATAATTAAAAGAAAAAAAATAAAAAGAAACAGAGAGAAAGGAAAAGGGAAAGGGGAGGGGTAGTACTGTAGATGAAATCTGTCCACACCTTCCCTTCCCTAGGGAGGAAAAAAGTTCACAAAAGAGATGAAGAAACAAAACAAAACAAAAAAAAACTAAAGTAAGAATAAGATGGAAATTGCAATAGAAACCATCACATGCATTTTGATGTATCTTTTCTTTTTGTGCATCACCTTCTAATCATTGCTGAGAACAAAAACAAAATGGGATTGGGCTCACAACCTAACCAATAAGTGGAAGCCAACAGTACAAAGCTGGCCAACAAGACACAAGCCATAAAATATTTAAAATGAGACAGGCAGTAGTACATTTGTCACACCCACCTTGCAGGAAACTCATTGTATTTTTTTGTAGGGTTGCCTAAACCCTAAAAACCTAGGGTTATGAAAGTTTTACATAAATGCCACCTAGATAATCATGAAACTACAGAACTGAACTGAGTTAACCAGGTCATACACACATACTTAGGAGAAGAAATTTTATGAGCCTAACTGATCCTAAAATTTAAATAATTTGATTAGAAGCAATTCAAAATTTTTAAATGGGAAGAAAGTATCCTTGACTCTTTCTTTGTAAGCAAAGGCAACGAGTAACAAACATTGCCACCTCAAAGCTTGTGAACAAATTTATCAGGAAATTAATAAACTAATAAAAGCTATGAGATCCTTCCAGTGACATACTCAAAATAAATATGATCAAGTTCTATTCTTATAAAGAAATACACATGCTTTCTCTGGAAATCAATGGGAATTTTCCTTCTTTGAAGGGTTTTAGTGGTTGTCAATGTGGTCTTTTTGATTGTTTAAGCAATAAACAGAATGACTCTGAAAGGGTTATCCTCTTGGGCTATAAAGTTTTCTTTGTAAAGAAAGTCTGTGTGGGTATGGGAATGCAAGTGGGAGATTTTTCTTTTTTTCATTGGGTAGGACAAGATGGAGATATTGGTGTGTTAGGATATTGATTTCGGGATAAAATATGAAGTGTAATTTATTATCTATGATAAATCACTATTCCATTTGTCCTTTGACTAGAATGTTTATTTGAAAACTGAATTCAAAATCAAACTGCTAGCCATGTGGCAATTTGTGCCTCAGTGGTCCAACCATCACATCCCAGCTGTTCAAAGCATGATATATCATATTACCATATTTATTGCTTTGACACATTAGGATGGTGTATTGTTTTGATTTTGCTGATGTAGTAGTTGTTTTTGTTTTGATTTTTTAAGAAAGATGACAATTTTGAGAAATCTTGTTTGGATATTTGAGGACTTAGGCTTCCTATTAACCCATTATTACATTAACAAGTGGATTAACATTTGGTACTGGAGTTACACCAATTAAATGGGTTCCATTAATAAGTTTCACAAGATGAATAGGCAAACCCATTTTACAATATGAATCTTCTCATGGTAATATTTTCCTCTATACATTATTATTATTATTAATTTTTAATTTGGGTGGTGAGAGGATCCCACTTGTACCAGTCACCATGTGACCTTGGCAGTTGTTATTTCAACCGTTCAATAATTTAAAATAAACCTGCTTGGTTATTATTGTGGAATTCCAGATTTTGTATCGTATCAAATGATCTTAGTCACATGTTCCAAGAGGGCCGTACTAAATTTATTTATTTTTGTTTTTTTGGAAGGGGGTAGAGGGTGGACGTAGGAAAGTTATACACATTAAGACTGTGTTTGGTTTGAAGGAAAAAGTAAAAAAAAAGAAAGGAAAAGACAAGAAAACCTATACAAGATTTGTAAAGGTTTTCTCTACATTTTTCTTCCTTTCCCTATCTTTTCCTTGAAAGCAAACATATCAGTGGGCTTATTTTATTATAAGATAATAAAGCCCAATTATTCGTGAGGTCCAGTTGTTTAGGCCAGTTTTGGTATGGGCCAGGTCTGGAATCGGATTCAGATGGGCGCTATGTTTAGTTTTAGTTAAGTGGGCCTGGTGCTTCGTTATTAGGCGATCCGTCCAACTCGGGTTCGGACGTTCGGTTATCATTTATCAACCAACAACAATCATGAGGCGGAGAGGTAGCAGTCCATCAGAATTCAGAGGGGCGTGGTGGGTGGGCCCCCAATTTGGTGGCCCACTGAGCGGCTGCTGTCAGTCATCACTCATCAGCAGTTCCCCCCTTACGGCCTTACCCTTAACCGCCACACCCGGCGCCACCTGCTTTCCCACTCCATCTTACGTTGTCCCGACTCCGGAGATGAGAAAACGACGAATTTGGTTGAAATTTACCAAACTGCGCCCCTTCCACTAATGGACAAATAGAAAAGTTTCCCCGATTGGACTGACAGAAATGCCCTTCGTTTTAGGTTGCCAAGCTTTACCGGTACTCGCCCACAATCAATCTTTCGATTGCTGCTTCACCCATTCGGGAAACGGGAAAAGTATCCAAACAAGCGAAAGAAGTCCGGAAGCACTTTTACGACATTCTATTTCCAATAAGCAATTACCCCCTCCTATTAATGCACAAGCAATTTTGATCCACAGTCCTCCCTTGCGTTTCTTTTCTTTGGAAAGCAAGATTACTGCTTTTTTATTTATCACTTTTGGGGTTTTGGGATTTTGGCTGGGTTTGTTTTCGGTGTAAACTTCATCGATGGTTTAAAATTTTAATAAACCATTATAACTTTTTAAATGTACGATTACATCGATAATCAATAAAAAAACTCAATCAATGAAAAAATTTACATTGATTTCACACTAAAGACAAACGCTTCATAATACAGATTGTGAATGGAATTTTATGAAAACAAATGCGAATCCACCGTGGAGTTTTATATGGATTTGCATTTACACCGAAAAACAAGAACAAACGCAGCTTCTCTGGGATTTGGAAATTTAGGGGTAAATTCGTCAATCTGGTAAATTTGATTTATTTTCATGAAAAATGATTAAATATATAGAAAAAGAAAGAAAAGGGAAAAGGTAGGCTAGGCATTAAGGCAAAGGTAATATAGGCATAGGCTGCTCGTGAAATGAAATGGAAAAAAGAAATGAAAAAAAAAAAAATGTGATTAAGGAAGCGACGCGTGTATTGTCACTGCTTTTAAAGGCTCCACCTTCTTTTATTGCTTTTAAACGATTTATTTAGACGGAGGAGGAGGTGGAGAGGTGAAGGAGTTATTGCGAGTGCGAGAAACCGAAACCGAGCAGCGGAGCAGAGCGGAGCTCAGGCTCAGCACCCACACGAACTCCGAAGGCCGAACCCACTTCAAATATTCCTTGAACTCAACATCAGACCAACCTTCTCTGCTTCTCGCTCTGCTTGTTTGCTCTTCTCTCTGCCTGCGTTAGCCTTTCAATCTTCTTGCTTACTGATCCATCGGCTTGATCGGTCGATGGATTTCTTCTGAAACCCGGTGGACGTCACGGGCGAGATTGTCTTTTTCTTAAGGTATGTTGACTATCTTTATTCCTTCGATAACATCGAATTCTCCACCTTTCCGAAAATCTTTTCTTCGCTCTGTTATATTTTTCTTGGGTTTTTTATTATAGCTTGTTAAAGATTAAGGATTAATTTTTCGTCGTTTGAGTGTTAATCCTCTTGATCATCCTGATGGTTGTTTTTGAAAAGAAGATGTTAAGCAAAATATCTAGGACGTATTTCAAGTATCATGTGTGGTGAAATTTTTGGCGTTATAACTCGTACTCTGTCCTCCTGAAATAAGATATAGAGAATTAATCTCCATCCGATCAACCGGATTCCGTGGATTGATCAACTTCCGGATTTTCTTCTTCTAGTGTTTATTCATTTAGTTTGTCTTCCTGGTATCTGAATAGTTTTCCTTACTTTGCAGGCGCTCTCTCTTATTAGATAAGAGTACTCGCTGCTCTTATCACCTTTTCTTCATTTCAAGCTCCGTTTTCTCAGTAAGATAGATAAATAGAGATTCCGATTCTTCATTCGGGAGAATCTCGTGATTCGTGCTTCGATCCCCTCTCCTCTCCATCGAATTCGCAGTTGAAAAAAAGAACGAAACTTTCGGTTCGGTTTTGGTCTGATTGATGGCATCACCTCTGATCTCGAATCCCGAAGCCAACTCCGACAGATCGAGAGAGTCGAAAAAGAAGAAGAGGAAGAAAACCGCAAATCAGAACAACCAAGACCATACCAAATGGAAGAACCGTGCGGAACAACAGGTTTACTCCTCGAAGCTTCTAGAAGCTCTGCGTCAAGTGCGCCGGAATCAATCACCGGCGTCGGGCTCTTCCTCGGAGGTCCCTCTTCGTGGCCGAGCTGTACGCGAGGCCGCCGACCGAGTCCTGGCCGTCGCGGCCAAAGGGCGAACGCGATGGAGCAGAGCCATCCTAACGAACCGGTTGAAGATGAAGTTGAAGAAGAAGAAGCCCAGGGTGGCGGTCACCGGCAACCCTCGGTCGAAGAAGCATGGAGTTAGCATTCTCCGTTTGAAAGAGAAGAGATTACCGGCGTTGCAACGAAGGGTGCATGTACTCGGACGGTTAGTTCCCGGTTGCCGGAAACTCTCGTTTCCAGACCTCCTAGAAGAAGCTACGGATTACATTGCTGCCTTGGAGATGCAGGTCAGAGCCATGACCGCTCTGACCGAGCTTCTCTCTGTCACCGGCAACGGCCCTGGCACCGAGTTTAGCTCGAACCGGCCCACGCCGAGTTGACCACGAACCAACGGCTTAACATGCCAGGTGTCCTCCTTTTCCTCGTTCTTTCTTTCTCTCTTTCTCTCTCTCTCCCCCCCCCTCCCTTTTTTGTCTTTTCTAATGTTTCCTGATTTTTTTCCTTAAAAAAAATTCATGTATTCTATTGTATACAGGTCCTCTTTTGCTTTTTTCCCTCTCCTTTCGAGCTCCAACTCCATTATTTATCGGAGAATTTTTATTCTTCTTTTTAATTTTTTTTTTGCAGCTACTTAACATAATTAAATTGATAAGTAATTAAGCTACGATCCACCCAATTTTGTGATGAGTTTGGCTGTTTGGGAAAAAAGAAAAAGAAAAACAGTTATCAGCCTTGGCATCCAATGGTGTACGATTGTCAATGATGGGATCCTTTTCTTTTCTTCGTCATGTCTGAGTTACTGAATCGTCCTGATGTGCCACATTCATTCCATGCAGTAATTTGATCAATTTCTTTTTAAACAAAAACCCAAGTGACTGAATGTTTGAATCCTCCCAAGATGAGGTTTTCTTTGTGAGAGAAAATGAGAGAGTAACCAGAATTCAGAAATCTTGCCATTGATGGACTGAATTGAAGGTGTGCAGTTGGATTGGAAGATTAATAAATGAAACATTAATAAATGAAACATCACCAAAACAGAATATATATATATATATATATATTAAGAATTTTGGTTCTACTTCTACCTGCCGGTGCCCACCGCACCGCCCACTACACAGTTGGTGGATGGTGGATATATAATAGTAAAATATTAAAGTAGTATGTTGAGAAGAGATGCGAATATGGGAGGAGGAGGGGGGGATGGTTCAACCACCAAAAAAGGTTGGCGAATCAGCTGCAGCCTGCAGCAGAAAGTATTTCATGATACGCCATTCTTGACTCTTCAACTGTGTGGTAAAATTAAAAATCCTCAAAAACATTAATTAAAAATCCTCAAAAACATTAAAGGAGCAAATGGGATTGTTGGTATTGGAATGGGTCCAGCCAATACTTACAACATTTCAGGGTTCACAACAGAACAAACCGGACCAGCCCTCTAGTGCTATCTCTAAGCCTGATGGGTACAGACTAGAATAGTTCCGTTTGTGTCCATGAAAGGGGGGAAGAAGAAGAAGAAGAAGAAGAAAGGATACAAACAAAAAGCAAGGACCGATCGAGTCTAAGACTCTGTCTATCTATGGGGCTAAGGGAGGAGGTAGTCTTAATCACCTCCATGGTTTACTGATTTAGGGCCAACTGTGTCCCCCATTGACAGTGGGAGGCAAGCCTTTATGTTGTCATGTCCTCAAGCCAAACCCAGCAATCACTTGATGGTGATGATGATGATGATTCATTCATCATTCATTGCAGCAAGGACCACCCTGCTCTGTCGGTTCGGTTGTCTGAAAGCTAACAACACAAACACACACACGTATGGCATAGCAATAGCCAATAGCATACAAATGCAAATTTCAAACACCAGATTTTTTTCATTCACTCCTCCATCGCCCATATCCCATTCGGAGTAGATTAATGGCTACCAAATTAGGGGACTTAAGTTTATGAATAAATTAAATGAAAGAGAGTTGGCGTATGAAATCTGCCAAGTATGACTGTTCCAAAGTAGTGCAATCTCCTTTTCCTATCTATAAATTCCATTTTGTTCTTTATGTTATTTATGCAAGTCCCCCACCAACTCCTCCCTCTCTACAGTGACTGCACATGCCTTCCATCCAAATTCCAAGTCAACTTGGCCTCCCTGTTGTTCCTGCTAATAAAAGCTATAGTGAGGGGGGGTGGGGGTGGGGGTGGGGGGGAGGAGGTAAGTGGGTAACATGCACTTACCATCTCTCTCCCTACGTTTCTATTTCATCTGTATTGAATTATATTATTATAACTGTAATGACTGAATGGAAATGCAGAAAGAAAATTGTAGGAAATGGGTGGGGGGAACTGGGAAGCAGAGGACGATGAGAGAAACAACAAAATATGTCACCTTTTTTAGGCTGCCCATGTCCCAATGTACACTGTTTGCTCATTGGGTATCAAGAGACAAACCATCCATCACCTTGCCAGTCACACAACTTGTCGTTTTTCAATTCATACTTGTGGCAACAACTTCTATCCCCTAGCCATCCATCCTTTCCCCCCCCCCCCAAAAAAAAAGGTGACTTGTTTTGTGATGATAACCAATGTTTCAAGACTCGAACCCGATCAAACAGTTACACCCATGGTTCAAAGTATCTTATCGTGACGATGGTTTACTGATATACCCATCCACGGGTTGTATCGGATCAGACACTGATTCAGAGGACAGTCAGGACAGTCAGGACAGTCAGGGGTTTGATTAGACCATTTGACCCAACAATCAGACCACTTGAATTGTCTTCGGTTTTGTATTTGGTTCAGGTCTAATAACATTGATGATAATATATAAGGGCAATTATCGTTTACAAAAAATGGGTTGCTTATATTTATAATGCATTCCCTTCGCAATGTGGTGTTAAATACATCTTATTAGATATATTTTAACCTAATTATTTGATATCTAATAAATATTAATAAACCAGTTGAACTCTCAAAACCACTATTTATCTCTCTATCTATAAATTAAAAGAAAACACACACACACACAAAAGCCTCTAGACAGATTGAACCCACTCGTGGGGTAATCGACCTGGTCCTGGTCTGCGGTTCTCGATCCTGCCGCACGTGGCTTGGATTTCCGAGCAAACGAGGTGGGGCCCATCCCCATCCTAATAACAGGAATCTTCATTATTAGTATAAGCAATGCTTTACCAAAGAAGATAAGAGAAAACGGTAAAATTATTATAAAGATAAGAAAGAGACAAGGGACGTCACTCTGATGTTTGGCATTTCCCCATGAGTGGACAAGGATAATTAAATTAAGGATCCAATGGATAGGATAATTCAATCAGGCGGGTGGGGACGTGGTGGGCCACACTTTAGATGAGCACCTCTGCACATGCCACCACCTTCAGCTTTTGGATCCACATCATCCCATGATCCACCCATACATTCTCTCCCTTTTTCTCTCTCTCTCTCTCTCTCTCCACTTTTGAGATGGATGGAGTGATAGTGACAAGATGCACGTGACAATCAATGAGAGAGAACCTTTGTTTGGTTGAAGTCCAGTCATTGGGCTGGGTCTGATCAACTCTGGACTGCTTTAGATGATAAAAGTCTTTATTTTTTTCTTTTAAATAAAATGAAAAGGACAACGAGAGAGAAATACAAACATATCAAGGAGTATCGCAATCTGGTGGGGCGTTGCTGTAGATGTTGGTGGCACTGCTTTTCATCTCAAAGAGTTTGTTCATTGGGACACGTGGGATGCATTAACACTAGAGAGAGAGAGAGAGAATCCAATCACAAAATAACTCTGCACTTGGAAATAATCGGTGATTGCAACCCAGTAACCACTATTAAGACAGTTGCTTGAATGGGAGTATTACCAAATTCCAAAGCTCGCTTTTGGGGTCAGATGGAATTTGGGAGAGGAATTGGAAATTGTGGTGCCTTCAATTCCACAAGTTTCTAAATTCTATAAAGATTTTTTTTTAAGTGTGATAAATTATCCAAATGAAAGTGAACCAGAATAATTTAAAAGTCTTCTTGATGTTAGTCTCAAGGAACAGTTCAACCTAAAATTTTAAGTCATTAGATGAGGACCCTTGATAGGATTTTATTCTCTAATACGTCCCATCAGATATAAAGCATGGATAATCACAGACCCAATTATATCTTATGCTTAAATTATTTAATTAAATACTATATCATTTAATCAGATAGACTCCATACCATCTCAAGGAATCGTTCAACTTAAATGCTTAAGCTGTTGGGTGAAGGCCTGTATATGATTTTATTCTCTAATAAATGATTCAACCTTACTTTTTTATTTTCTAATTTATTTGCGTGAAAAGCTATAGATATCTCAATTTTAGCTTGAGCTTTTTCAACTTCATCCTAAGGTATATCCTTTTTTTTTCCTTTGATTATTTTCATTTTTTATTATTGATCATAAAAATGAGTAATTTTTAGGAAGAAAAGGGTCAAGATTTAAGCAACCTCTATTTTTGATCAACCAAGAGCCCTCAACTATGTTTCTTATTTGCCTATATTCATCTTTCTTTAAGGCTCTGTTCACTTTTTGATAAACCAAAATCCTATTGACTAACTCTTTCCCCTCTCAAAATCCAAAATATAAAGAGGCCCTAAGTAATAAAACCTGCCAAGTATCCATTTCCAAAGAAAAATTGTCTTACCCTCTCTTGCTCTCTGTCTCTCAAACTTGGGTTCAGTTCAATGGTGAAAGGATTAGTAATTAAATTGATTAATTTTTGGTAATGATAGTTAGATTGATTTTGGGTAACTACAGTAATATGTTCTGTGAATAAGAATTCCATTAGGATGTTTAATCTGAAATCATTCATCAAAATGCAGTTACAAGGAGTGTATCCTCTCCAATAATTGATGATAGAAAATCAAGATGAATAAATTTCAGCACTGTGTTTGTCCAATTGTCCTTCCTCTCTCTTCTCCTTCTGTTGTTATTTATTTATTTTTTTTCATTATGCTCTATAACTTTCCTAAATCCTCATGAATAAAGGGTGAGTAGGTGAGTTAGACGATTACATGATATTTTAGAGCCCTTAAGCTTCTTTCAATCTGAACAATAATAAAGGAAAATAAATAGGAAAGGAAACTTGAAAACTTGCTTATCAAAACTGAAGTTTCAAATCAAAAGGATGTCTTTTAATTCTTGTTGCTTGTAGTTGGCCAAAAAAAATAAAAAATAAAAATTCTTGTTGCTTGTATTCTACTTTCCTTTTCTTGTGATGATTATTGATTGGAGTATTGGAGCAAGAGAGGAAAAAAGATAAAGAGATGAAATAGGAAAGTAGAATACCTAATTGGAGAGGAGCCCTAAGAGATGCTAAAGGCAATGTTGAGCTGATAGCTGAGATGGTCATTTGGCATCTCTCTGAAAATGGTGGAAACCGGGGTTGTCAAACCAGTGTAACGAGTTTGGATCTTCTCCTAACAGAGTATGCCTTACATCGACCTTACAGCACGTTTTAGCTCTGCACCTGGAACATCTCGTACTTGTAAATTTTTAATTCTTAGAGAGATATTCCAGATACACGACTGAAATGTGCTGTGAGGCCGGTGTGAGGCACGCTTTGTGAGGAGCATGTCTGATCTCCAATATAA